GGAAGGAAGGAAGGAAGGAAGGAAGGAAGGAAGGAAGGAAGGAAGGAAGGAAGGAAGATAGGCAGACAGATAGATAGAGACAGACAGACAGACAGACAGATAGATAGCTTGGGGCTGCACAGATGGCTCAGCAGTTAAGAGCAATGGTTGCTCTTGCAAAGAACCTGGGTTTGGTTCACAGCACCAACAAGGCATTTCCCAACTAGTTCTAAGGGATCTGATACCCTCTTCTGACCTCCACAGGTATTTACATGGTACAAGACATACATGCAGACAAAACACCTATACACATAAAGCATATACATTTTAAATACTGCAAATATACATCTACGTGTACCCTGCTTTGTGCCTGTAATTTCTAAGATCAACACACACATCTAATTAATTTCTGTATAGTTACATAATACTCTAATACATGCTCACATTTGTGTGCTTTATGTAACTACACTTATTAGAAGATAAATGAGGGGCTAGAGAGATGGCTCAGCTGTTAAAGGCTAGGCTCACAACCATAAATATAAGATGAATGAGAAAGCTAAAAATTATATGAAAAGCGTATTTAACTCTATCAGAATGACGCTCAGTTTTATAACCAGTAAAGCAAAGCATTAAGATATATTTAACATTTATTTGACTTACATATACCGAGTTTTTTTTTTTAAAGGCATTTCAACAAATCCTTTTATACAGACACAGAATGTCTCTATAAAGATATTAAAGAAAACACTGGTAGTCGCTGTCCCCCAATAATCAAGTGACTCATTTGCCTTTTATCTTTAGCATGTAACATAGCCTGTATTATTGTTACACTATTTGTTTTATGAGTGACTTTCATTATGGAGCCCAGGCTGGCATTGAATTTATAATCCCCTGCATGGGATTATAAATTCTCCTGAGTGGTAGGATTATAGGCATGTCCCACCAAACTCAGCTCTATTTTTTTTAATTTAACCTAAAATAATAAATATTAAGACTATTAATCATTCAACTGCACTTATCAGAAGATAAATGAGAAAGCAAACATTATATGAAAAAGTATTTAACTCTATTAGACTGACAAAAATTTCAGTATTTTATAATTTTGCCTAGAAGTACTAAGGGAAGAGTCACTCATACTTGATAGTAAAATGTAAACAGATACATAGCACTGGAAGGCAAGCTGCAATATCTACTAAAATGTATCATGCTTCTATTCTTAGATCCAACATTTCTATAAATTCACCCTATCAGTATATTCACATATGCATTAAGTGACATGCAAAAAGACGGTCACTGCATGTTATATAGATAGAAGAACAGAAAGCCTGCAAATATAGAAATATCCAATAAGACATTGATTAAAGCTGGACATGTGGGGCTGGAGAGATGGCTCAGTGGTTAAGAGCAGTAGCTGCATTTCCAGAGGTCCTGAGTTCAATTCCCAGTAACCACTTGGTGGCTCACAACCATCTATGAGATCTGGTGACCTTTTCTGGTGTGCAGGTGTACATGCAGACAGTACATTGTATACATAATAAATAAATCTTAAAAAAAAAAAAAAAGGAAGCTGGATATGGTGTGCACACATGTAATCCCATGCCCTAAGGAAGCTGAGGTGGGACAATCCTTCATTCAAGACCAGCTTTGGCTACATAGTAAGATCCTATTTGAGGAAAAAAGAAAAAGAGAGAGACAGAGACACACACACACACAGAGTAAGCAGGCTTGGAGGAGGACTGGGGAGATAGCTCAATGGATAGTGCACTAGCCATGAGTGTGAGGACCTGAGTTCAAATACTAAGAACCATATAAAAAAGTTGGTAGGGGTCCTAGAAAAACAGCTCAGTAGTTAGGTGAACTGGCAGCTCTTCCAGAGGACTGGGGTTTAATTCCCAGCATCCACATGGAAGCTCACAACTGTAATTCCAGTTCCAGAGAATTTGATGTCCTCTTCAAGTCTCTATGGGCACCAAACACAAAACTGATACACAGACATACATACAGGCAAGACACCCATACACATAAATTTTTTTTCATGCCGTCTATTATCCCAGCACTCAAGGAGGCAGAGGCAGGCAGATCTCTATGAGTTTGAGGCCAGTTTGCTCTACAAAGCAAGTCTAAGACAACCAAGGTTACACAGAAAAAACAGAAACAACAACAAAAATTTTTTCATGCAATATATTTTGATATTGCCCTTTCCCCCAACTCTTCCCAGATCATCTACACCTCTTTACCCAACCAATTTCAGTTCTTTCTCTTTTAAACACAGACACACACATATCCACAACCCCCCACCAAAATGAGAATCAAATAAAGTAACGAAATTCAACAAGAGAAAAATATACCAAAGCAAAACAAAAAGCACACAAAAAACATTGATTTTATTTTGTGTTACCGACTGTTCTGGGCATGGGGCCTGCCCTGAAGTGTAAATCAAACACACACACACACACAAACACACACACACACACCCTAGATGCAGAGGCTACAGTGATGGTTCAGTAGTTAGAGCACCAATTGCCTTTAAAGAGGGTTTCAGATTGGTTCCTACATCCATGTCTGCCATGCAACCATAACCTGAAGTCCAGGTCTAGGAGCATCTGCACTCAAATGCACATGTTCACAGAAAGACACACAACCACATCATAGTATCTTGAAAAGAAAAGTGAGGCTTGGAAGCGCACATCTGTAATCCCAGCCCTCCTATGGCAAGATGGAAGGCACAGACAGAGAAAACCCCTGAAATCTGTGGGCCAACTAACCTGGCATTTGCTGTGGCAAACAACAAAAGACAACTCAGCGTTGTCTCCATAAGGGAGCAGGGGTGGAGAATGATCATGGGGGGAGATTCAAAAACTATAAAGTCAAAACAACCTTATAAACAGGAATGGACACAAGGAAGAGAAAACAGAAGGTGCCTCTGGTAAAGGGGACTGAATATATATAGGAGATGAGAGTACAGAATGTACATTCTATACATTTTTTATGCCTCTAGAATTATGAACATGATTTAAATATTTTAAGTAAACTAATTCTATTAAAACATACACCATCTAGGCGATATTTATGAAATAGGTGTGAACAGAACAAAGTTATACTGAGTAAACACATAAAACAAAGTCATTACAGGACAGGTAGAATGCTTACCTAGCATGCTGGGGGCTCTGTGTTCAATCCTAAACACTTTAAAGATCACTAACAATAATAAAACATTACATGTTTTATTCTTAACATTTTTCTATAAATCATAGCAATAATTCTTACCTAAATAATTGTTGAAAGTTTGGTTTAATAAAGTTTGCTTCAATATTTTGCCGTATGCAAATTATATGCGTTATCCCATGTTTCTGTAATGTAGGCAGCTATAAAAAATGTGGAGAGATAATAGTTTAAAATACAAAACATAACCCTACAATGATACAGAAGTCTAAAAATAGACAAGATTCACATCTAATCCTTACATACATAAGATTACGGCTAATTTTATGGTAAATGACCTGACATGATCCAATGACAATTCAATGATTCAAGATTAGCATACAAAATGTCCACCAAAGTTTAGCATGGACATTATTTATGTTTATTTATAGAGCTTGATGAGAACTTAAGTATAATCTGTCAAGAAACCAGTACTATTAACAATCGTGGTTAAAACCAGGGAGTTTAGAATCAGGAGAACTAAGCTAGAAATCCCAGCTCTGCCAATGACCTGAGCTCTATGGCTCAGTTTTGTTATATGAGAATGGGAAAGCATTTCCTCTCCCTGAGTGGTTATAAGGAAAGGAAAAATGTTCTATAGGACTTAATGGAAACAAAGTCACAATATGGAACTCCCATACGGGAGCATGACCTTCATACGACAAGAAAAGTACCTGTTCACTCTGTCCCCTATGTGACTGTAAAATAAGGAGACACCATCCCAAAGACAAATCTGGGCTCCCAGGAGCACACTGTGTGATGCGGACACCCTCATCTCAGATGTCCCAGTTTCCACAATTATGGGAGGGAAGCTATTCACACCACAGTATGTTATCAAAGGTGTCCAAATTGACTAAGGCAATATGGTTTTCAAAAGTCTTAAGTGTTAATTTTGACAGCAAATTTCCCTGTCCATATAGGTCAGAGCTATTATGTTTGTGCCTTCTGAGTATATTCTTGGATATCAGCAGGAGTGTTTGGTGAGTTACTTAGAGGTGTTTGACAGGACTAATGATAAGCCAATGTAATATGTTCACATGTATGCAACCTCCAAGATGAATTAACTACATTTATTCTTAAATTTACAATTAATAATAAGGATGGGGTTTTTGCATCTGTTTTATTTTACCAATATGAAAAACTACAAGAGGACATAAAGAAATCCACTGTAACTGGGTACGGTGGCAGAAGCCTTTAAGCCCAGAACCTGGGAGGCAGAAGCAGGTGGTGGATATGAGTTTGAGATCAGCCTGGTCTACATATCAAGTTCCAAGCCAGCTAGAATTATAGCGAGATCCTGTCACAAACAATAACAAGAAAAAAAGCAAAACAAAACAAATATCCTTTAAAAGCTTACAAGGCACATTAATTTAAATAAAGGAAACCTCATCAGAATGAAATTCTAATGCAGTAACAGAGTATTTGCACCTTTCAATAGATGCACTTATAAAAAACTATGACCTTACCTTCCAATACAAATAAGACAAAAATTATAAAAAGAAATAGATCACTGGTTAATAAGCAACCCTGAATTTATCTCTTTTATTCAAACGGTGTTTAGATACAGTGTGATATGCCTCTAGTAAATCAATCTTTAAAAATGCATTTATCCCTCTAGGTTTCTTTATCCCCATTAATTTTTATGGTTGAAAGGTACTTTTTGGAGGTGGTATGAGAAGAAATTTGTACTATATTATGGTAATCAGATTAAAAAATATAAACATACACAAAGAAGACACGAGCTGGGAAAAGGATTAACGGCAGTCAGTGGAGGACAAGAGAGGGTAACAGATATATGTTTGGATATGATCAAAATAGTTACATGAAACATAAATGTTATAGTGAAACCCATTATTTGGCATAAATATATATGCTACTAAGGGCACAACTGATCGTGAGGACCAGCACTGATCAACACTACACTACTGGGGCAGAAGCTTTGCTGACACTACCTTCTAAGTCAAAGCTTTATTTGCTTATTCAGTTTTACAGTATCTACCCTTTCCACCTTGTTGGGGATCTCAACTATCAAGAACCTTTCAATTTCAGGATGCACTGAAAATCCTATCATGGAACTGACTCCTGCATCAACAAGCCCTTGGGGAAGATACTTGCTATACAATGTTTCACACTGTCTAATACTCAAAAAAGAATTAGTATCATCCCCATAATTCATAGAGCTGAATCACTAGACCACCACTACATACTAAAATAAGACAACCTCCCCATCTTAACTGAGCAACTGAAGAAGTCTATTTCCAATCCAAAAGAAGAACCAGTATAAAACACGTATTCTCTTACTTTGATAAAAGTTAACAAATTGTTATATTTCCTTCTCTAATACTTTGCATGTATCTGATTCTGTTCAGAAGATGTTTGGAAAGTACAGATATAACATTTTAAGATAGTAAATAAATTACTAAAGATTGTAAGAATGACAAATTTACCAAATACAAGATTTCATGAGAAAAATAAATTATAAACTCACTTGTAATTTGTGGTGAAACACTTCAAAACTATTAATGGTCCAGTAAATTTGACAGTAGGGATAAGTACTATGAACACAGTTGTATATAAATGTTCCCTAGTATAAAACTCTTACTATTAAAAACTTACCCGATAAAAAGTTGGTTTACTAAAGCCTCTTGGAGAACCTAACCTAAAGTTCATACCTTGCTTTTCATAGCAGAAGAGTATGGGCCTAAGAACAATCCAGGCAAAACTTCCTAGGGGGAAAAATACATATGTAAAGTTTAAACTTACAGCAAATTCATACCATGTAAGTGGATCTGTCTGTGTATGCCTTTGCAATAGTCTGGCTAAAACTTTGTTCAGAAAGGATTTCCCTGCCACATATACCAAACTGGGATGAGAAACATAAGTATGAAAGCCCGATATCTGAGATCCCACAGTGCTTTTTATAAGTAGGTTGGATATAATCAGCATATTATATTAACGTCTACATTAATAAAACTTCTCTGACTTCTGTTCTGTGCTATTGCCTAAAAATAAAGCAGGTGTAAAGAAAATCCTCCCTTTAGAATTTTACTTATACTAACTTTTATTTGGTTAAAACAAAAGCAGTACAAGAGCCAGGTATAGTGGAAAATACCTATATTAGCGCCCAGGAGGTTGAGGCAAGAGAATCCTGAGTTTGAGCCAGACTGGGTTACATAGTAAGTTCCAGGCCAGTCGGGACTCACAATCAGACCCTGATCTACCCTCAGAAACAAAGCAGCACAAGATGAAACAGGACATAACTGTCATTACAGTCAATAAAAGCCAAACTAACTGTAATTAACCACTGTAGAGAGCACTGTACCCGTAACAAACTTTTCCTTTTCAAACGGCATCTTACTACCATCGCTAAGCCACCCTCTACACTCCAGGCAGTTCTCCTGCCTCAGCCTCATGAGTACACAACTTATAGAAATGGCATCTTACAGCATCTTACAAGTATAAATTACATTTTACTTAGGATGGCATTCACCATATCAAGTTAGTTTTCATATGTACTTACATATAGTTAAAACTTTAAAAGGAATCTTTCTTCTTTTCTCTCTCTCTTTTAATGAAGCAGAGTTAGGGTTTGAATGAGGGTTAAGAGAAAAACACTTAAAGAAAGCCAAGACACTTGAGAGCATGGATGTGGGCTTCTCAAAAGAAGAGTTGCCTAAAAAGTGGGTTTTTAATTAAGAAAGGCAGTACACCTTTGGAAGGTATGGGGTTAAGAGTGAGAGGCACTCACTGCTTATCTCGACTTATCTTAACAAAGTTGACTGCAAATGATAAAAAATAGAAAAGAGGAACTGAATTCATTCCAGATAGTAGGTATTCAACTCACTGAATACTAGATAAATCACTTATGGATGTCAACTGGAAAGCAGACACAAAAAATGAATAACCATCTAAAAGCCTCAACTGTTTTACAGTCGACTCTCTTGAATTTATTCGAATTAGACAGGAAAGCAAACTGCTTAATAAGGTATACAAGCATTTCATTTTGTGAATAAGGAAAAAGAGTAACTCATTAAGCACATCCATACATTGCTATGACCCTAATCCAAGCAGGACAAAGAATTCATTTCACATATTAAAATTTTTATTGACACAAATGGTACATATTTACTGTGTGATATTCTAAAACGTATATGCGGATGGAGAGATGGCTCAGAGGTTAAGAGCACTAACTGTTCTTCTAATATACATATACATTGCATAATATTCATAACTGGGAAAATATGACAAACCTACAGATTATGAGCCAGCAGGTCTCCTTTGTGAAGTAAGCATAAGTTATTTAATAGGGGTCATCTTAAATAAATTAAAAGTTGCCATACCTGCATCTCCCGTCTCATAGGGTAAGTCCACTCCTTGAAAAGGAAGACCAAAAAAAAAAAAAAAAAAAAATTAAAACAAAAAGCGTGAAAACATCATAGGCTGTTCAGATGACTCAAGTCTGATATCTGGGATCTTGGAACCCAGGTGATAGAGAGACCGGATTCCTGAAAGTTATCTTCTGACCTCCAAATGTGCACCACGGTTTACATGCCCTGAGCATGAGAGCAAACAACTCAATATATATGTACACACACAGAAAAGGAAACAAAATAGCACAAAGATGTAACAATAACAACAAAAAAAAAAAATTACAGATTCATGGCCAGCAAGATGGCTTAGCCTGTTTTGCCACATATAATACTGACATCCTGAATTCCACCCAGAACCATGGACAGGTGAAATAGAACCAACTCCACAAAGTTGTCCTCCAATTTCCACACATACGTAATTTTTTTTTAAATACAGATGTTTTTTCTTTGGGAGCGGTTCAAGACAGGGTTTCTCTGTGTAGCCCTGGCTATCCTCGAAATCACTCTGTAGATCAGACTGGCCTCAAACTCAGATATTCTTCTGCCTCTGCTGGGATTAGAGGCGTGTGCTACCACTGCCTGGCTGTTAATATAGATTTTTAAAATACACTTTTGTGTGTGTGGTGCTGAGAAAGCAAATGTATGGCTTTGTTTTTGCTTGGCAAGTTTTCTATTACAGAGCTGCAACCTTTTCCAAAAAACAAAACAAAACGAACTTAAACATGAAAACATTCCATAGCACTGGGCCTAGAGATCAGTGGTAGAACTCTTGGCCAACATGCCTAAGACATGAGTTTGAAGCTCTACACTGCCAATAAATAAAAACAGCCTGGTATGGTGACATATTTTATAATCCTAGATTTTAGTCTAAAAGCTGGGTGAGCTGGTGCACACCTATCCCAGCGCTCAAGAAGGCAGAGGTAGAGACAGGTGGATCACTGTGAGTTTGAGGCCAGCCTGGTGTACAAAGTGAGCCCAGGACAGGTGAGGCTACACAGAGAAACCCTGTCTCAAAAAACAACAAAAAAGAAAATTTAGTCTAACAATAACAACAAAACAAAGGCAGGGAGTAGTGGCTCACACCTTCAATCTCAGCACTCAGGAGTCAGAGGCAGCCATGTCTCTGAGTTTGAGCCCAGCATGGTCTATAGAGCAAAGTCCAGGATAGCTAGGACTACACAGAGAAACCCAGTCCTGAGGGGAAAATATTGAGTCTATGAAATAAACTGGCAATAGACAGTCTACTGGGAGAAAAGGTTCACATATTTATTATATGCATAGGGTAAGTATCCAACATCAGCGATATTTAGGAGCTTAAAGCTAAGCATGGTGGCACCTGCCTGCTCTCACAACACTTGGGAGTCTAAGATAGGAGAGTAAGAGTCGAGACTCTGTGTGTGTCTTTACTTCTAAGAAAGAGACACAACAGATAAGCACGGACTCTAAAACAGATGGCTTGTGATACATCTGGGTATGGTATCCAATTCTCTCGTGTAAGTTAATTTTCTGTCTTTTACTAAACTTCTTGAGACAGACTAAGTTCTTTTTGGTATCTCTGAGGGGCATTCGGAAAGCCTCTTCTGTACCTGCTGTTTTATATACCAAAGCAGTCAGGATGTTAAACAGTGTTATTTTGGGGTGGAGTTTCCTAAATGCCTTCAATTTAGCAAGAAGCTAGAAGGAGAAACTCAAAGCTACAGGATAAATGTGATTCTCTAAGTACTTTTTTTTCTTGAAAAAAAAAATTAATTAGGTGTAAGTGGATAATATTAAATACTATTAGCTATTTTTAAGTTTTAAAAAAAAACCATGAACATAAAGGATAAAGTGAATATTTATCTCAATTTTTAAACAAAACCTAGAGTCCAAAGTTGTTTTGAACTCTGTATCATTTTTTTTTTTAATTTAAATGCACTCTTTAATCCCTTTAAGATCTTCCCCCCCCACCCCAGAACTGAGGACCAAACCCAGGGCCTTGCGCTTGGTAGGCAAGTGCTCTACCACTGAGCTAAATCCCCAACCCCCTAATTTATACCTTTTTTGGTATAAATATAGACCATGAAATACTGTCTCCATATTTATGCCAAAAAAGGTTATTACAAAAGGGTGTGGTGGCATGTGTCTGTAATCCCAGCACTCAGGAGGCAGAGGCAGGCAGGTCTCTGGGAGTTCGAGGCCAGCCTGGTCTACAGAGTTGACAGCTAGGACTACACAGAGAAAATCTGTTGCTAACAACAACGACGACGACGACAATGATGATGATAAATTAAAAGACTGAAAAGCAAGTTGCATAGCAGGAAGAGAACAGAAAGTTATTTTCATTTTCAGGTCACATATACACATAATCTTATTTGGAGATCATAAAGCCTTACTGGAGTAAGTATAGATCTTTGAAACCTAAAAATATTCGGAAAAATTTTCTCTTGCAACTATTCCAGTTGCCATCATCACATCCTCATCCTTGAGAGCTTTCTAATCCTAACCCTACAGTTGTGTTCAGATATGGTTTGAGTGTATCTCCCAAGGACCAAGTGGTGAGGTGTCTTTATCTATTACAAAAAATTAAAAGGTCGAAGCTCAACTCAAATAGTGCGATTAAGATTAGATAATGTTCTTAGCATAAGCCTTGACTACATCCTGAGGAAGAGGAAGACCAGATGACAGACAGACTGATGGAGGTATGGGCAGACACAGGGACACACACAGACTACCAACAAGAAGGCCATCACTTCCTGGTGGTGGTGATGCATGTCTTTGATACCAGCCTGATCTACAAGATGATTTCCAGGACAACAGGGATACACAGAGAAACTCTGACTCAAAACAAAACAAAACACACAAAGGTCATTATTATTAGATGCAGGCCCTTGACCTTGCATCTTTCAGACCAGAAGCCCAAATAAGCCTTTAAAAACAAACAAACAAACAAAATCTGTACTGAGCCTAATACCTTTGGCCCATTACCTTTTCTCTCCTCTCTCTCTTTTGGGAGTGGGGGTGAGTCTCCTGCATTTTGGCTAAGATAAGCCTGGCATAGGACTTACTAAGGAGTCCAGACTGGCCTGGCATTGTCCTTGTAGAGCATCCTTTTATCACCTCCCAAACCCTGGGATTAAAGATGAGTGTGTGTGTGTGTTTTGGGGGGATTATGTAGGCATGTATGTGTATGTGTATGTGTACATATATATGTAAGCTCACATTTGTGGCATACATATACATGTACGTGTGTGTGTGTGTGTGCATATATAGAGGCTAGAAGTTAATATCCAGTGTTTTCCTCAGTTGGTCTTCATTTTCTAATTATTCTATTTATCTATTTGGGCTTTGTATTTTTAGACAGGGTCTCATCATATAGCCCTTGCTAACCGGGACCGTACTATGTAGACTAGGCTAGCCTGGAACTCAGAGATCAGCCTGCCTCTGCCTCCTGAGTACTAGGATTAAATGTGTGTGCCCACACATCTGACCATTTTGTATTATTTATTAAGGCAGAGTCTCTTGCTAAACTAAAAACTCCCAGACTCTGCCTCCTCTTGCTAGCCAACTTGCCTCCATCTCTACCTCTACTGTGCTGGGATCTCACAGAGAGCAATCACACTTCCCTGGCTTTTAGTGAGATCGTGGGACCCAAACTCTAGTCCTCTCCATGCAAATACATCCCATTATGGAAGGCTCAGCCTATTATGGAAAAGATGACCAATTAATTTGAAAGACCCCAGCCTCACCCTAAGTTAAACATAGCTAATGCCATTTTGTGAGACACCACTGTTTTATAAAACTCTAAAGGCCAGATGAGAAACTGAAAAATTACTGAGAAATCCTAGCTGTGTCACCCACTTGGGATATCTGTGGTCAGGCTGCCCCAGTCATACTAAAAACAGTTTGTGTTAATCACCCTCATAGATATCTGTGAGACTGTTTCAGTTAAGATAGAGAAAAACAAAATAACAGGTGGCGGGCCACGTCAAGGGGTGATCATAACCCCCTTGACCACCCAGTTCCTGAAATCTTGGTGCCCCTGCCAAACTTTGACGCAAATTGTGGTCTCGTGTAAACGTACCAATCAGCCCCCTGTAACCATGCCTCTCGCTTCTGTACCAGTGCTTCTGCTCTAAAACCCTATAAAAACCTCAGTTTTTCCCCAAGGAGGCGCGGAAGTCTCCCGAATGACTTTTCGCCCCGGGTACCCGTGTATCAAAATAAAAGCCTCTTGCTGTTTGCATCCGAATGGACTCGTTGTTCCTTGGGAGGGGGTCTCTCTGACAGAAGATACCCTCCGGGGATCTTTCAAATTAATTAATTTGTATGAAGGTACATATAAAAGAGCCAAGTGCTATGGCACTTGGGGGAGTGAACTGGTCTGGGTGAAAAGAGAAGGGTGGGAAGAGGTGGCAAAAACAAGAAAAGCTTCTTACCCCCAATTCCTCTGGTCTCAAACTGGTAGAAATCTCCCTACCTCTGCTTCAGTAGAGAATACTGGCATTAAAAGTGTACAGTACAGACACCCAGAGGGCCCCATGCCACACCTAGAGGGTGAGTGGAAGACACCCAGAGGACCACCCGCCTGCCTGCCTGCCTGCCTGCCTTCCTTCCTCTGTGGAGGAGGGGAAGATACTCAGAAGCCTGCCAGCTGGGAAGACCGCCTGAAGTGGGAGCCACTACAACGGTGGACAGATGGGAGAGAAAAAGAAGCCGAACAGAAGAATTGGTTCTCTTCTTCACTGTTTGCAGGTCTGAAATTACTTGAAGACAAAAAGCAAAGACCTCATTTGCATTACTCTATGTTAAAAAAGTTCAAAAATCTAAGTCTCAACCATCAATACCACAGATAAGAGAATCCCTCCAAATGCCTATAATTTCATCAGTAGGGAGAACAGGAACTGAAGAGTATCTGTAGCTGCAGCAAATTCCAGGTCAGCTTGGTTACACTAGACCTTGTCTTAAAAAAATAAAAACCACTTTTAAAAAGTAGCTAGGTTTGGCGGCACATACTTTTTATTTAACATCAGTACTCAGGAGACTGAGGCAGGTGGATGTCTTTTAATTTAAGGCCAGTCTGCTCTACACAGAGTTCCAGGGGAGCCATGGCTATAAAGAAACCCCTTCTCAAAAAATGCACAACCACAACAAAACAAATACCAAAAAAGAGAACATCATATGATGTCATTCGATAGAACATTCCATGTCTCCTCTAACTTGGACTAGCCTCAAATCTGCTATATTATCACAGCTACCTTGAACTCCCTTATCCTCCTTCCACCTCCCAAGTAGTGGGATTACAGGCGTGGAAGCCAGGCCCAGCCCCACATACATTTAAAACACTGAGATTAAAGGGTGCACATCTACAATCCCAGCCATTTGGGATGCAGAGGCAGGTGGAGTTTCAGGTGGAGAATCTCTTGTGAGTTTCAGGCCAGCCAGAGCTATGGTAGACAGACCTGTCTCAAAATACACGAACAACTCTAGAATCCTTTTTTGATCCTATTAAGTGTCAAAGTGAAGAATCCTTGTCTTGTTACTAATTTAGCCTCTAGAGAACTCTAATTTATCAGTGTCTGGTACCATAAAATATTTGCAACAACAACAAAAGTTTCTGTAAATGTTAGGTAAAGAATAATCAAGGTGGAGTGAAAAGAACCCTGAATTACGGAATCGGGAAAAGGTAAAGAAATCTGCTCTCAACAGTAGCTTTACTCCAAGGGCAAGAATTGTGATTTAAAAAAATTCAAACTCAAAGAAGCTAGCTTTGTGACTTTTTTTTTTCTGTCGGTCATAGTTTCTTTGAGGTTTTGGTGGTGGTGGTTGTTTTTGTTTTTGTTTTTTTTGTTCTTGGGGAACTATTAGAGGGTGCAATTCCAGAGTTCACGCCTCCGGTCCATCCCACACGTGGGGCTGTGTCCCGCATGTGAACCCAACATCAAGCTCAGATTAAAAACAACTCCACAGCGTGTTGCTTTGGCAATCAAAGACGAGTCGTCTTCAGAAAAATCCTCCACGTCGAGACGACTGGTCAGGGGTACTCTCCCGCTTGGGTCCCCCGCCAGGGTCCCAGGGGAAGAGGACCTCACGGACGGGCCCCCGGGGAGAGGGAAGCGTCGGCGACGGTTGGGACAGGGTCGCCGCTCGGCCGGAGTCCGGGGCGGCCTGCGGCGGGGCGGGCACTCACCTCGGCGTCGTCTTTGCACTGCGGGAGCGAGGGGAACTCCAGCTTCACGTCCTCCATGGTCCCAGGGCCCCGGCGGGTGGGCGCGGTGCGCCCGGCCGCCCCCCGGGCCGGCGGAGGCGGCGAGGGGAGGAGGGCGGGCGGGCGGCGGGCTGACGCGCGGCGGGCTCACAGCGAGCACCCGCGGACCCCGTGGTCCCGGCGGCTGCGACGCGAAGGCGGAGGGCAGGGCGGCGCGCTGCGGGCCGCCATGCTGCGGCCGTCTCCCTCCCGCAGGTCTCCGCGCCCCTCAGACAGCCGGCATCCGGCCCAGGCACGCGCCCATAACCGTCTCCTCCCGCCCCCCGGCCCACGCGCCCCAGCCAATCCCGGCCCACGCTCGCCGACGGCCCGCCCCGCCGCCAGGTGTCAGCGCGCCTCCGCCCTGCCCGTCCGCGAGCGCGCAGACGCGGGGGCGGGGCCTCGCGTGGGGCGGAGCCGCGGCCGGAGCAGGCCGGAGAGGTCCCGGCCCAAGGCCGCCTGCTGTCAGGCCAGCTAGGCCTTCCCACAGGGATGGGAGCCGCAGCGGAGGGCCTCCGGGACCTGCGCTCGGAGGAAAGCTGCCCAACCGTAAAGCCCCACCGGAAGAGTTCAGTTTAAAGCAAGTTAGACGACGCAGAAAGCGAGAGACCCATCACCTTAAAACAATTTAAAAAGTGGCTTCTTAGGTGTTCTCCGGAGCCTAACAACTAAGATTATCCACAGAATTTCAAGAAAATAATTTTAAAAAGTCAACAGAAACGCAAATGACAGTTTACTTACTAAATTCTATTCAGTACGCCTAAGATTTCTCCCTTTGCCATAAAACATGAGTGTGTGTGTAGCTTGCATTGGAACTAATAGTTTTTAAAGGTTAAGAATACACTTTCGGGGCTGGAGAGATGGCTCAGAGGTTAAGAGCACTGGCTGTTCTACCAAAGGTCCTGAGTTCAATTCCCAGCAACCACATGGTGGCTCACAACCACCTATGGTGAGATCTGATACCCTCTTCTGGTTTGTACATGCAAGCAAAACACTGCGTACATAATAAACAAACTTGAATTTGTATCAATATACCAAAATTAAAAAAAAAATACACTTTCTAGAGAATGCCTTTAAATCCCAGCACTCAGGAGGCAGAAGAGGCTGGTGGATCCCTGTGAATTTGAGGCCAGCCTGGTCTACAGGCAGAGCCACATGGAGAAACCCTGTCAGGAACCGGGTCCCCTCCCCCAAAAAATATACTCTCAGGGTCTCACTTTGTAGACCCGGTTGATCTTTAAACTCACAAGAGATCTGCTTGACTTCCAAACTCTGGGATTAAATGTGTGCACCATCAGGCCTGGTTAGAACTTCTAACAACCGTTTGTCTCACTGAAGGAACCACTGGTTGGCTGCAAGGCGTGTAACACTGTTGCGTTTCAGCATATTTTACGGGTACTTCCTAGTGCCTTGGGACTATGACTATTAAAAAAGTGGAAGGATCACACAGGTATTTGATTTAGATTTCCTCTCATCCTTTCCATCTTGTCATACATGTAATGTGGGGTCAACATACAGAAGGAGAATTGTTCAGTAATTAATTAGATGACCAACCTGGGCGTTTCACGTTCTCTAGTACTACATAAACTATTATCCAACTTTAGAAATTATAAAAGGCACAGAATATCCTGCTATTAATTTTTAATTAAAAAGTAATCAGATGCCAAGTATGGTGGTGGATGTCTTTAATCCCAGCATTTGGGAAGCAGAGGCTGGAGAATGTGAGTTGAGGACAACATAATCTACACATTGAGTTGTTCCAGGCCAGCCAGGTCTACAAATGAGACCCTGTCACAAAGAGAAAAAAAAGGAATCACGGAGCTTGCCAGATCATTTATGGTTGGTCCTTTAGTATTTATGAAACTAAAGTTAGATGTCTTTATTTAAACAATACTTTAACTATAATCTCAACCTTTAGAAATTGATGATTTCTTTATACGACTTTGCCACATGAAATTAAAAAGGCCCGTGTACAGAAGGTCGCAGAACTTCTGTTTTGAAGAGTTCTGACACTAACATTCCCTGGAGTAGACACCCTCTATCTGTAACCACCCACAAACATTTATAGAATCCATCGGTGAGCCTAGAAAATAACCCATCTCTGGAAATCACAGGTATGCAAAATTATGTATCTATGTACAGACTTTTCCTGGATCCAGACCATAAGAATTTCAGAAGGAAATTGTTTTACACATAAACCACGTTAACTGTAAGCATTGCTTCTAGCCATAATCTTTAAAATAGCCCAACTGCAGTAGTGAAGAGTTAGTTCTCGGGAGACACAGATGCGTGTAGGTACCCCATACCCACCAACAACTTGGTGGACTCTTTGAGTAATGTTTTAAAATAAAATTCAAAGCCCCATCTTATATTTCATTTTCATCCAGTTTCTCAAAACATGTGCTTACTGATCCGAAAGGACTAGAATAAATGTGCTTTTAGAAAAGACAAGAATATATATAGGACAACTAAAACAGATTTTATTCCATTTTTTAGGACAAGGAAAACAAAATACAAAATAAGTCATAAGAAGTGCTTTCCTGTACTATCTTTAAAACCATTTTGAATGTTGTATAAAATGCTCACACATCAAATATGAAAAGCTTCAACATGTCTTTTTAAAGTTCTGCTGCAATTAATGCAACATTAATAAACATACAACTTTCCTCTGTACCAATTTTAAAAGAATTGCTGAATTACATACTATTATGTTGCTCATACATGTTTATTCACTTTTAATGAGATCACTGCCAATACATACATTATTTTCCTTAACTTTATTTTTACATTAAGCCAATGTCAGTCATGCAGTCACCAAAAACCTTACAGTAAATTACACAGGTTTGTAGTCCAGTTTAGACTCTAGCTTCTTAGAATCAGCTACTTTTCTGACTGCTTTCATGAAGTCTTCCTGAACTACAAAATCATGATCGGCACGAATTGCAAACATACCTGTGGAAAACAAAATAAAATTGCTGCTTATCGATAAGTATGTGAAAACCAAGCTGGGAGGAGTGCCACACACTCTAATAATCTCAGCACTTAGGAGACTGCAACAGGAAGATTTCGAGTTTGAGCCCAGCCTGGGTAACATGCAAAGATCTGATCTCAAAAGAAAAGGTAAAAGAAAACTAAATAATCTAAACTTGATGGAGTAAATTGGAAGATGTATAGATTTACTATCTCTGGGACAGTAGTGCTAGTTTATTTATTTCCATAAGTAGAGTAAGCATTAATTTTTAGATGAGGCAGATAACAAAATCATCTGAATATTAAATCTGGACTGTGTGTGTGTCCAATGGTAGCGCTTAATAAAAATAAAAACACCCAGAACTATGGAGACCACACATTCTTGGCTGAAGTTAACAGTATGTGCAATGACCACTTGGGCGCGGTGTTCATCCACCTAGTGAATGGGGGGTGCTTGCCTAACACATGTGGAGTCTTGGGTTTGCTCTCCAGCAGTGCAAAACTAAACAACAAACTTCCAGGAATTTTGGCAATGATTACCTATCCCTAAGCAAGGCTTAAGGTTGGGGCTATAGCTGTCAGTAGAGCTGCCTAGATTACAGAAGGCTCAGTCACGAGTAATGCAAGCTACATGCCTATATCCCAGCACTTGGGAGGAATAGGCAGGACAATCACTATATACTGTACATTTCAAAAAGTTAGAAGAAAGAATTCTTGGGGTTTTCACCATGAAGAAATGGTTACACGTTTGAGGAGATAGGTAAGCTTAATCTGATCTAACTATCATACAATATATGATGTATATGTACATATATAAAGATGCATGGTTCCGATTAATGTGCAATTTCCATCAAGTAGTTAAAAAAAGTTTTTCAATGTGAAAGAAAAAAGCTATCAAAAATTGATAGCATCAGCTTTTAAAATCACAATACTGCTTTTGACTTCAGTTTCACCAAAGCTATCCTTGATAATAATCTAGTCTGATAAAGATTTTGGAGTGTGATAAATTACCCTAGATACTTCAAGTCATATGTTAGCTGACTTATTAACGCTGAAATAATAACTACAACTACTGCAGGTATGTCTTGGGTTTGAATATTCTGAATGGACAATGAAAGCTAAATGACTTTAGCTAGGTAGTTTTTCAAAGGCACTTATTAACAAAAATAAAACCAGTATCAAAAAATTGTATTTAAAAACTTCATTTTAAACAAATTCCAGGACTTGTAAATACCCATGGAACAGACCACCCTAGTTCCAGCCACAGTGTGCCAAACAATCCTGCACACATCACACTTGTGGGCATCATAAAATGCTTAGGAGATAACACCCCCAAGGGCTGACTTTATCCCCTGGGGGAGGAATGCTGGTAAATACTAAATGTTCTAGGCACTCAATCCTCATATTTCCCTTATGCCCCTTACAAGAACTCAAAGTCAACTACTATAGTGGTACTTTCTCCCTTGTGTCATTCCATTCTACTTCTTGAAATCAAGTCTCAAAATAAACAAAACACTGAAATTCTGACAAGGGGCAGCTCTGCTTTTAGATAAACTTGGGCCACTGTTATTGATGGTAAAAATCTGTTTTGTACTCTCACCTGCTTCAGTACAAACATTTCTCAGGTCTGCTCCATTAAAACCATCTGAAAGCTTTACAATTGCTTCATAATCTGTTTAGGGGAAAAAAAAAAAAAACAGAAATTAAGACAATAATAAAGATTCAATACTGAATGGACTAGTTCATTTTGAATTTGATTAGCATTACCCTTGCTACTATTTTACATTAGCAACAAAAATTAAAAATGCTACAAAGTAAACTGGAATCAAGGAGACATACTTTTAAATTTTCAGTCAAAAAATGTCATCAAGATTTGAAGGTGCTTGCTTTTGTTTGTTTGTTTTGTTGTTTTTCAAGAAGGGGTTTCTCTGTGTAGCTGTGGCTGGCCTGGAGCTCAGAGATCTGCCTGCCTCTGCCTCCCAAGTGCTGGGATTAAAGGTGTGCACCATCACTGCCAGCCAAAGGTGCCTGCTTTTAAGTAGTAAAAAACCAGAAGTAACTGGAAAGCTATGATTCATTAAACCTGTTGTACATGAGTAATCAACCCCAAGATTCAGGAAGAGTGGCAGAAAAACAAGTTTCAAGCCAGATGAGCAACAAAGACCTTGGCTTGAAAAGCCCTCAAACACACATAAGTAAGTGCTGAGGATCTATAGGCAGTTAATGGTTACAGTAGGAAGGAAGAAAACATTTTTTTCAGTGGTGTAGCCACAAGTGTCCATACTC